TGGGGACTGTTACATTTTGCCTGCAAAACACCACAGTGTGACTTTATAGAAGGTTTCCAGTAAGAGGAGTGGTTGAATGTCTGCTGTTTCACATGACAAATCAGGAGCCTCAAATCTAGGCTTTTAGCAACTGGGACTTGTAAACATAAGGTTACCAAGTCAACCACGAAGGGACTCGAACCCTTAATCTTCTGATCCGAAGTCAGACGCCTTATCCATTAGGCCACGTGGTCCCACTTACAGAGGGGTGGGTCTGCTGGGCATAATGCATCTCTTTCTTTGCTCCAGAGTACGATGTGTAGAAGGTGGTAGAGTTATGAAAGAGTTATGAAAGCACTCCATCCTCCATTCTGCCCATTTCTTTATTTTACTTTTTTATTTTCCTCTTGCCAAAGATAGTTTTAAAACAGTTTGCATTTTTGTTTTATGACAGGGACACTGCTGCATCACACAGTGATTCATTTTGATGCTCTCAACAATGCAACTGTGGAAATTCCTGAGGATCTCAACCAATATGCCAAACATTTTACTTCAGCTGCTGCTGAGTCATTTTCACCTGCTGTCTGGTTTCTGCAGAGTCCCTTTCATTTCAGTCAGGTTTGTTGGTTGCCACCTTGAAAAATCACCAGATGCTGATGCCTGTGAAGAATCTCAGTCATCCCGGTCATGGTCAAGCTTGAAACATTCAGTTTAGGCAACTGGATGTGAAGTTGTTGATGCAGATGTCAGGACCTCCAACTGACATTTGGTTAAAGCTGGGTACATCCTGGACAGGTTCTGATGCCTGAATAAAGCCTAAAGTGAACTGTGTGTAGTGTGGTGGTGTGTGACATACTAAAGGTTGAATTAGATCTTTGTGATTTACATTAGAACATCAAATCCATGCCATAAAACAGACACATATACAAAACCACAATTGGGCCACTGGTGAAATGTCATTGCCAGACCTGGTCCACTTCTCACCATACCAGCAGCTGACCAGCAGAGATAGCTTGATGCCAGATCTAACCCAGACCTGTCTGCTATGTGGACGGGGTTAGAAAAGGAACCACAGGATACAGGATACACTGGCTGGAGATGAATGTTGAACCTGTGTTAAGATCATAGGCTCTCCTGGACACGTGGGTTCAGATTCCTCTTCTGACAGTTTGCTTCCCTTGCTTGTTTTTTTGCTGTCTTTAACTTTTAAAATTGGTTCCATATGTAAAAAAATCTGCTTAAATCCTGAAGACAGATGCTCTCTAAATTGTGGCTGAATTTCAGAGATTGGCTTCTAGAATGATCACTGTTGGTCATTCTCAGTTTGAGATACCAAAGAACATAGAATGCTCAGTACATTTCAGAAAGAAGGGGGCACCCAGAGTTGAACTGGGGACCTCTTGATCTGCAGTCAAATGCTCTACCACTGAGCTACACCCCCACCTCTGGATATAGAGATGAACTTTTATAACTGAACATGATTTGATCAATTGATTTCCTCCACTTAGCTCAAATGCTACAGTGCTCGCTTAGCATGTGAGAGGTAGTGGGATCCATAGCCACATTCTCCAAAGACCCTGTGTTTTTTTTAACCACAAAGAATGTTGCCTTTTTTCTAATTTCAGTGGTCGCCAAGTGACCACATTTAAAAAAAATCTTCTTGTATCTGTCAGGATTGCTGAGCGGTCCAAGATGCTGTGTCCAGGTTGCAGACTCCACTGGAGGTGTGGGTTCAAATCCCTCTCCTGACAGAAAACCTTGAGGGAAATATGTTACATTTATGTCTTATGTCGGGGATGTCAAACTGATGCCCTTGAAGTCTGCTGTTTCATTCATCGGCACACCATATCCTGATAAAACTATATCTCCTCTGGACATTGTTGAGCTTTGCACTGGCCTATTAATTGCAATCCCTATATTCTCCATCAAGCATTTCATATTCAGGAGAGTGAACACAGCACATACGTGTTCCTACACACAGAATAACTAAATGTTACTGCACATTTTAGCTCTTTTGGAGAAGCAACAACACTCATCTTCACTCATCTAGTGACTCATTCCTCCATGTGGGGGCAAAGCTCTCTGCTGGGTTTCAGATTGTGACCAGTAGGGGGCAGCAGAGCTCAGATTAAACAGGTTAGCCTCCCATTCAGGAGATAAATGTTTATGTGGGAACATTAGTTTGTTCTTGTGTTTAGATGTTGCCGTTAGGATGAAGAAAAAATAGCCTTTAAACCTTTAAATAGATCCATTTCATCTGAATCAGGTGTGCAGAAGCTGAAACATTGCAAAGAAGAGCAGGGTTTGACCTGCTGCCTTTGGGGGAGACTCAGGCTGAGCCCACTGTGACCAGCAGGGGGCAGCAGAGCTCAGATTAAACAGGCCGGCCTCCCTTTGAGGATTTGAATAGCTGGAGAGATCCTGAATGGAATTATTCAGGATCTTTTTCTTTGGAGATGATGACACAAGCCTTTAAAACATGAAAACATGGAGACTTATAGTCAGACTTATAGAAGCAGCAGCATCGATGGGAAACCTTCTGAGTAAAAAGTGGAAGGATCTAGTCTCTTTGGGCTTAAATGAAAAGTTCAGCTGTGCCAGCAGGAGCTCAGATACACAAAGGCCAAAGAAGCTGAGACTCTGGGAGCAAAAGAAGGATAAACCATCTGAGACCATCCCTCAGAGTGTGAGCTGGCTCTGGGTCACATGGTGCCTTCTGCTGTAGTTCCTCTGGTGTCCACACAGGGCGAGGCTGACCAATCAGAGGCCTGGATGCAGGAACCAATGAGGAGACGCCTGTCTGGGTCTGGCAGCTTTTCTGCTCTAAGTTTCCCTTTCTGTGTTCAGGCCGTGAAAACAGGAACTAATGCAGGAAAAAGACAACCAGAAGCATTTAGATAAGAAATGTTTGGACTTTCTTTGAATGATTAATGACCAGTCACACTGATTCACTAACAGAACAGAGCAGGAAAACACAGACAGACATAATTAACAGCTTCAGTCTGTGATAAAAACACTCAGGATGCTTCAGTCTGTGATGAAAACACTCAGGATGTTTCAGTCTGTGATGAAAACGTCCAGATGGATGGTGAAGGTGGTTTCTTGTTCTTGTTGTTGTTTCTTTCTTGTGTCTCACTGACTCTACACTGATATGTTCCTGTATCATTTATGGTCACATCCTTCAGAGTCAGAGACACGTCTCCATCCTTCATCTGTGTGTCCTGCAGATCCACCCGGTTCCTAAAGGTCTGACTCAAAGCCACCATCTCTGTACAAAAACACAACATCTGGCCTCAGATCAGGTCTGAGCGCTCTAAAGCTGGGATGGTTCTCTCCTCTCCAGCTCCACAGGTCATCCAGGCCTTCTGTCCAGCTTCAGCTGTTGATTTTCTGCCCTGCAGAGAGGAAATAACACAGAGCAGAGAGGTTACAGAGCTCAAAGTGGAACTCTTTACATCAACAGCAGCACCAGAGGGAGGACACCCCAAAGAACCCCCCCTCTGATCTGATCTGGACCTCAGAGGTTCTTCTGAGCCAGAGGATGCTCTTAAACCTGCCCAACTTTCAGCATCAGATGTATCTGAGGATGTACTAAGGAGGCCCTGTTCTATGTGCTAAACCCACACCGCAGCCATCATAACGTATTTAATGGAGCAAACACACAGCTCCCACTCAATAGCATACGTTGACTAGATATGACCATATCAATTCATTTCAAACCTTCTTCTGAAGGCTACAATAACTGTGCAGGCCCCCATCAATGCATGATGGGAAATGAAAGCTGTGATTTCCATCCAGATCTTGTGTAGCATTTCAGATGAACACATTCCCAGGTGCTCATGGGAATGTGAAACTCAGTAAAAACAGACTTTTTAATACAGTCGTTTCAATAATAAATCTAGCCTTGGGTTAAATTTGTAAATGTTAGGCTCATTTAACACCTGTGAGTTTGTTGATTTTCTTAGTGAAAGGCACTGACATGCATGTTGTTTTTATTGCTCTGATCCATTTAAAAGCCTTCTCCTCTGTACATTAATGTGCAACAGGCCCAGGTCATCTTCAACCTTCTAACCCAAAATTATTTTTGATAGCTTTTTAATCACTGAACCTGAAGTTCATATAAAAAGAAGTACATTTACAAAAAAGATACTCACCACTATACTAACGAGGATGTGCCATTAAAGCAGTTTTGATGCTTTCACGGACCAATCGTAAATCTGGAATCTAGATATTTAGTTGGTTATCCTTTTATATTGGTTGGATAAAGTGTGTTGATTTTTGGAGACTGGTCACTCTGGCTAAGGATGGGTTGGTCTAATGAGAGGCACCAATGAATGCATTCCTTTGATTGCTCAGTTTTTAGAATGGACTAATAACAGGTATCCTTAGTTCGAGGAAATGTTTTACCGTATCTTATTGCAGCATCTGTCCAAATGTTGCTCAATGCCCACCAAAAACACAATTGCTGTTATACATAAAAATATATATGTTATATTGTATAGTTGACCCTAAACATGAGAAGATGAAGCTCTGTATACTGTAAATATTCTATGATTGTTTGCTGTGAATGGTCTTCATGGCTGAATAACAACATTAGTGAATGGATTTACATATTTAGATGTAAATGTTCTGTTTCTCTGCTCTTTTCAGACATGTGTGTGACCCTTTGGGACTTTTCTATAAGGATTTTGGATGTCATGGATGTTTTTCCTCCTGCTGATGAAGGAAGAGGGCAGCTCTTTTTTGATTTTTTTATTTTGGGACCAGTGGAGATTATAGGATAAATAACTATATGAGGTCCTTCAGATGGGCCCATTGTACTTACTGGAAGCAAGTCTGATTTCCTAACAGTACAAAGTAGTTAAACCAAACATGGATTTGCAGAGATGAGACAACAAAGCAAAAAGAAACTTTGAGCAAAGAGCTTTCTCCCCATTATAGTGAACAAAGCTATAACAAAGAGTGAGAGCCATTCAGTACAAAACTGATGACATTCAGGCTGCTTCCAGTGCAACACAAACTAAAGCATGAAGTACATCTTATGTGTATCCAGTTTGAACATTTTTATTATGGGAAGGTAGTGACTGTTACACATCAAATAAATGTTAGGTTCTTAGATTTTAGAAACAACACACCATAGTGTGACTTTATAGAGGCTTTCCTGCATAAGTGGTTGAATGTCTGCTGTTTGACATGTGAACTCAGGAACCTTACATCAGAGTTTTTAGTAACTCAGTGGAAAGTGGGCATTATTATTTTCCAGATCCTCCTAATCTGGAACACAAAGTAGACCATGTTTAATATGTATTTTTGTCAGAAGGAGAATTCTGTTCAGTCCTTTAGCAGGCAGCTGGGATCCAGCAGGAGGACATTAAATCACACAGCTGCATCTGAATGTCACAGAATGAGGCTGTGGAGTTACTGAGCATGTGTCTGTGCAGTGGAAGCTGAGGGACCCTCCTGCTGCTGCCCAGCCATGCTCTGCTAACAAGAACAATGTGTTAACACTTCAGAGGAGGCTGAATGCTTCACCAGAATGTTCAGAAATGGGAAGTGAAGCATCAGTAACTCAACATGTTGCCTCAGTAGGCCTTCCTGACCCCCGTCTGTGAAGGCAGCAGACATTGTTTCCTCAAACTCTTCATCTTAGAGAGAAGTTTGAAGCAGAGCTATGTCACAGCTATTGATGGAAGAAAATAAGCAATTTTGATTATTATCAAGGAAACCCTGTTGATCTTTCTTTTAAAAAACATATTTAAACTCTCAAAGTCTGTAAGGAGAACAGATCTGTTTCTTACAGTAAAGCTCACCAAGAGGTTCATCTTTGGTGGGACAGTTGAGATTTTTACAAAAGCTGTATTTTTTTTACAGTTAGCTCTGACCCCTCAACAGGTCAGTTAAGTTCTGGACCAGGCTGAACTGTCTCTGCTTTGGAGAGAGGGAATGGATGCTGGAGGGCAGGGAGCTGCCCAGGACTGGTTCTTTCCACATGTGGGGCCCTCTCTGGAACAGTGAGGATCCTCACAGTTTGTTTCATGAGCAGCAAACTAGCAGCAGCTGACATGAGCTGAATGCTCTGAAGCTGCTGCAGAGAAACACAACCAGTGAGGCTTCCACTGGAGAAACGCCGTGTGGATCCTGGAAGAACGCAGCTGTGATGGAGACATTTGGCTCTGGTCACATGTTCAGCTCTCTTGGTGATGGTCTCCTGTTATTCTCTGCTTTCTGAGAGGTAGCAGGTGTTGTCTTGCTCTGCACGTCAGCATGGTGGACGCTCTCACCTGATGAAGTTTGCTCTCAATAAAATGATCCCTTGCTTCCTCAGACACAGGCTAAGACTCTTCTTTAACACAAACCCCCGGGGCAGCAGCTCCAGGCTGTAAAGGGCCGGAGGAGGCTCTCTACAGGCAGCACACAGAAGTAAAGCAGAAGCTGAACCAGGAAGCAGAGGATCTGCAGCCAATGAGCTGCTGAAGGTGTGGAGCTGGATCAGTGTGTCAGAGGAGGCTTTGGAGAAAGACTCCAGCAGGACGGTCCACAGACCCTGCTCCTCTGAGAGAGGCCCGGCCTTTGCATTTCAATCCAATTATTATTTCATTTATTCATCATTTAATGTATCTTTTAATCTTGTTTTAATTCTAAAGCCTAACATCAACCATGGGTTTGGTCGGCTGGTCTCTCATCGCAATTGACAGCATCTTTTCTACCCAAAGACAAGCAATCCACTAAAGCTGCCGAGCCTCTCAGAAGGAAATGGCAAAAATCCCAAAATCCAGAAGATCTAACAAAATATCAGGCACTGCTGTCTGCATTCTCTTTAAGCATCACTGATGTTCGTTTATAAAATGTATAAATCTATTGAGTCAAGTACTCCCATAGCTCTCACTAGCCATGACTTCATGAGCTTCTTTAATGATAAAATTCTAGCTATTAGAAACAAAATCCACCAAGACTCGCCCTCAACTGGCTTAAACTCAGAAACCGGAAGAACAATTGTAAAACCAGTTATATGTTTTGACTGCTTTGCTTCCCTCAATCTTTGCCAACTAAATACAATCATTTCTTCATCCAAACCATCACCACATATTCTAGTTTCTACTCTGACTTCACTTGTTTCCAGCACATTAACACACATCTGACATTTATTCATGTAACTTATGGTAGAATAGACCTAATTTACTGAGAATGATGCCTAATTTTTTTTACATGGTTATGATCATAGAACTCTGTTAAAAACATTGTTTTATTATTTTTTCTTTTTTTTTGCGTTGATCAAAGGTTTTACAGCAGAAAAACAATAGGATGGATACATTTCTGCTGTAGAATTACTGATTCTTCTTCTTTTTGTTCTTGAAATGCAGATATTTTAAAGCTCGCATTTTATTAAAACAGGAACCACAAAGCAGATGACAGATTCATAATCTTTGTCTGCTGGTTTATTTTTAGGAGTTATTTTTACACAAGGAAAATTAAGTTGGTCCAACTTAATTAAGCTTGCAATGGACAAAGAAAATCATGTTGCCTGTGATAAAGTAAATGGGTTTGCCTAACCAGATAAACCTTGTGGCACCCATTCAATTATGACTGAGTTGAAATAGCTTTAGAAAATCTAGGCAAATTGTTACATCAATTTTTTTATGTTGAGGTAGCACATTATTTTTTGGAGTGAGGTGCTCAGAGGGGGGCTCAGGCTCATAGAGGGGCTCAGAGAGGAGCTCAGGCTCTAACAAACATGAAGACTGCTGAAAACAGTGTTCATATGAAGCCCAGTGAAACTTTAGCCAATGTGGAGGCTCTGAACATGACAATGAAGCAGCCGGACAGTGAGCCCCTCCAAAGCAAGATTAAAGAAATCCCCCCAAAGTTCCTCCAGCCAGCCTAGGAGACTAGATAAGACAGTGATTTGATAAGTAAGATAAATGCATTTCCATTATAATAATTGATTCAATAAAAAACTTGGATGGAGACACTGTTGTGGATGTCCTCCTGACGACGTATTGAATTGTGCTAAGTCTTTCAAAAATTCTAAGTTCTTGTAAAAGCAGTTGAAAAATCTCCAACAGTGGTCAAAAAAGAGCAGAGGCAAGTGGGTCTCGGTCCAGTATGGTTTATTGCAACAATACAATTCCACCAAACGTGAGATGTTAAGCGGGCTAACATCTACCCTCTTGAGAAAGTGGTCTGCTTATATACAATCCCTCGGGACTCGGAGACTCCTCCCCGAGTCCCTCCTATTTTGACGTAATTTCAGGTCATATTCCACCGG